CCCCACGATCACGCAAGAGGTTGGGAAGCGAGGCCGATGTGGACAATAGGCTGACCGGGGTGGACCCTGAGACGAGTATGGCGCGTCTAGAGATGAGCATGGCTAAACTTGGGGCCTATGCTCCAGGAAGTGCGCAGCGAACTCTGGACAGTCCGTTTGTAAACCAATCGTACTCTGGGTTTGGAACGTTGGTCGAAGTAGATGAGGATGATGAAGATATAATCTCGGAGCCTGAGGAATCGGATGCCACTTCGAGCAAACGGCAGCCTGGAGTAATCTTGATCTCGTTGGACCGTCCAAAGCGCCATGCAATACTCTCTGAGTCACAGACCTCGTTCTCCAGTGCGTCAACATCTGCCCTTACCAGTAGCAGCGGCAGGAGCCACTATGCCCTCGATATCAAAGGCAGCGTGCCGACGATAAATGAGAAGGTGCCGAGTCATAGACATGGCAAGCGCTCCTCCCTCGCATTGCTCCCTCTTTTTGACTTTGAGAGGTCAGACCGCAAGAGTGTGGATCTTCGCGGTTTACCTACGCGGTGGGCGTCTTTACGCCACCTGCATCGACTGTCCGATGCAATATCCGATTCCTCTATTTATTCTGAGGCGCCGTCGATATTCGCCCTCTCCCCTACTGCTAAAGAAGCAAATCTAGAGGGCGATGTTAGAGAAGATGAAGTTCTTGCCAGACCGTCCACGCCGGTGCGCGAATTGCGTCCGAACAGGAGGGAGAGCCCGGAGCAGCCGACATCGTTTATGCACTTCACGCCGAGGCAGCCCGAAGCGCGGTGGAAGGTGAAGAAACTTTTGGGGCGAGTTCATGTGCGGGGGGATATCATGCGCGGACTGAGGGAGTCGTTTTTACCGTCATGACTCTCGTCTACGGGCGGTGCCACTTTCACCTTTCACATCTTGGAATTTCCCATATACCATCGCAGGCACGACTATCCTCTTAGATGCGGGTACCTTTCGGATACCTCAGGCTGCGTACTATTAATGACCGCGACGTCGTTCCATATGGGTTTTACTGTTATATTTGCTGGATTGTTCTCTTTCCGTTAGTCATTATTTGTTTTGTGTTTTGCTCTCTCATGATTTGATGATGTAGCCGTAGCTTGAACCCAAATGTAAAACTTGAAATCCTTGTCCCTACTATGCGTTTTTTCCCTGGATCCCGATTCCCGTTGCCATCGTCGTACTCTGAGAGACGGAAGAGCGTGAACCAGAAAGACTTAGATCGTCTACGGGTCACAGCTTGGTGTTGTGGAGAGCCTTCAGTCTGTCCGGATCTCCTGGCCAGAGATGCCAGATCAACTTCTGTATGTATGCCGTGCAACATTGGCACCCGAATTGGGTGGGGATCAAAAACGCTCTACAACGTCCGATTGGGACTCCGATTGCTGCCGAGACTAGCCTGTTTCAACTTTCCTGCTGTTGGCGCATCGATGCTCGCTTTACCGGGGTTCAAGCGTTCAAGGTTCTGAACATGACCAGCAGTACCACCAGGATGGTATGTTGATGCTCGCATATCTATGAAATTTTCTCAAATTTAATCTGCAGAGGAGCTGTAAAAAATCGCAGCATTGTTGTGCATTATAAGCTTCTGGGCCATCGGCCGCACCCAATCCATTCCCCGGGAAATTAAAGGCTATAATATGAGATCGTCAGAAAGACAATTCTGCATTCTGCATGCGGCGCTTCAGTTGCATGTGACGGCACTTCCCCCTATTCTTTGCTGAGGAATGGAATGGAAGTCAGGGTGAACGTGTTACTTTGGAATATATACCGGCTTGATTCAGTATCGTCGTTCCCCCAGATTCGCTATTCGCCCTCTCTCCATCAGGCATGGGCCTGTCTATGGACATGGGGCCCACTACTGCGGACCAGAGCCAAGGAGCGGTCGTGGTGACTGCTACCACATCTACGTCCTTCGAATGCAGGCAGCAAGGACAGGTAAGATAGACAGCACGTATCGCAAAGTGTGCCGGCTTACATTTTATGTTATCGCGTCTATAGTCCATTTCCGCCGGAGCTTCTGAAAAGCCCACCTGCGGATGCTGCAGTCACTCGAAAGGTCCAACCGAGGTAGCTGATCTGCTTAAATCTCTAGTTTCTGTTCTTAATATCGGTACAGAAACCCGATGGCTGGAAAGTCCTCTTGGGTGCAATGGAGCAATCCGATCAGAAGACCCTCGACCGTTGGAAAGCTGAAATGGACAACCTGTTGATATTCGTAAGTACACCTTACCCTGTCCGGAACTAGCTAACTGTCGCATACAGGCTGGTTTACTTTCCGCTGTTGTCACCGCCTTCACGGTCGAATCATATCAATGGCTGCGGGACGATCCCGCCGCAACATCGGTGGTACTGCTAGCGCAGATCTCGGATAAGATGACCTCGTTCAGCGTTGCAGCTGGATTCATCAACTCCACGGAGCCTAATCCCCGCCCTATCGACACTAGCAGTTTCTCGGTTCCAGACGCGGTCAGGATAAACATGCTCTGGGTCCTTAGCCTTACATTCAGTTTGATTGCGGCATTCCTTGCTCTAGCGGTCCAGCAGTGGCTTCGGCACATCCCGTTGCCAGAGGATATGACTATACGTCAGTCAACCAGGTTGCGACAATTTCGTCAAGAGGGGCTTGGCCACTGGCGCGTGCCCATGATCGTTTCGTTCTTACCAATTCTCGTCCAAGTGGCAGTCATCCTCTTTCTCATCGGCCTCCTTTACCTCTTGAGGCCTCTGAACCATGACATAGGGCTGGCCTTCACCGTTGTAGCTGGGAGCTTATTAGGTTCATTCGCTATCACTGCGTTCCTCCCATTCTACTATCGCGATTGCCCATACAAGTCCTCATTCTTCCCCACTATCCTCTGCATTGTTCAGCCCATCGCCAAAACTATCCTCTACCTCGGTCTCTTCGTCATCTATATTGTCGCGACGGTGTCCGTGTTCGGTATCTGTCTGGCTCTGGGGTTTGCAATCATCGATATAGGCTTGGCAGTTTGCTTGGTCGGCCTCGCGCTGTTCCCAGTGGTGTTCACATTCTCGGTTGTGATCCCGGCGCTCTACAACTGCACGAGCAGGTGTCTTCGCACGGTCTCTTCACCCATAGCCAGATGCTTGCATCCGATCCTACATCGTGTCAAAGAAGTATTCCGGGTCAGCCCTATAGTTTCGTTTATCCATGACGCTTTGAGCTCCCTTTCGACGTTTATCCATAAAGGCCTTTCCGGCCTCAAAGCGCTTCTTCACCGTGTCCTTCCCTTTGGCAGGTCTAAGGGTGACAACCAATCATTGTGGTCCATTGCGCTGAGGCTGTGGGAGCGTTTCGAAGAGGCGCGGAAGAATAAGCAGGAGATGGTCAACAATAAATTTGGCGACCCAGAAAAACTTTGGCTGAATCTAGAGCTGAAGAAGATGATGTCTGATTCAGATATATGGAACAGTTTGGACGAATCTGTGCTCGCATCTGCACCAATGGCGGTTGCCCGTTCTGAGTCCTCGTTCAACACTGTCAAGGAGTGTTTGAAAGACTTGGAACTCGCGAGCCACAGAGCTCTATGTGCGTTCAAGTGGGCAGCCCATCACCTCGGGGTCGTCTCGGGGTCTATTTCGGATGAAATGTGCGACTATTCACGGTTTTCTGGGATCAACCCAAGATTGCTGAGAAAGGTGGATAAAATATTTGCGGAACGCTATCGGGAGACTTTATGGGAGGTATTGCCCATGGACGGGCACGAGTTCTTCGACGAGGGTCGCAGGTATATTTTATTAGGAATCATGATTCTTCTTATGGAGACCACAAAGTTCAGGCATGATGAACCCGATTATCCAAAGTTTGTGCAGGGCTACATGGACTTGCTGATGAAGATTCTCCAAGCCCAGATTGGCCGGTCGCTAACCTCGGATAATGTGCGACACTATGGACGTTTGCCTACTGCCTTGATCTACGAGGGGTGTATTCGTCATAAGCACAATTTCAGGGACGGCGGTGAGCTGATTCGACTTTCATTCTTGAATGCCAAGGTGGCTTATATGTTTAAACCATAGACGTGGAACACGCCGTGAATTGGGCACACCAGCAATTGACAGCCGGATATGAAGAGTGCACTCTCAGCATTCTTGAGCTTACTCTTGGTTCAAGTGCTATCGCACTCATCGCCATAGCTCAATCCCAGGACGAACGCTTCGTCGTTCACAGTTGCCAGCAACTTGTCCCTGCGCTCAAGACTTATTTAGAGTCGAACAAGCAAAAAATCCAGTACAAAGCAAAAGAATGTGCTTTGCGAGATGGCCTGCAAGTGCGCCTAGTCTTCCAACATGCAATGTCTTCCATCTATGACAGCCTCTCAACGTTGTCCCAATCCCATCTGTATACAGATACACGAAAGAAAGACCCCCAGAACGACGTCGACCTTGATGGCGATGCTGAGGCCATCAGATCTACTCTGAAGGAGATGTTACAGGAACAGCAATTTTTCAATGATGTCCTGTGGGAAGTAGAGTTTCCGGAGGGTGTACCAGTGCCCCGCCAGCGCACAGCCACACCACCCACTACAACGTTGGAGAAGAAACCTGACGAAGCACCTGACGCCGGCAGTGAAGAGAAACTACCCAGTGCCGACGAAGATGACCCAGATTCAAAGAAGGCAGATGATTTCGGTATCGCTACTCTCGATCGTTAGGTCGCTGAGACTTATGATGGTGCACCCTTATGGGATGTGGAAATCAATTTTCGTCTCCTTCCTCGCCCACCTTTGATGAATCCATGTCTTGCGATGCCCCTTCGGTTGCTACCGAGAATTGTACAATAATTCCTGTGTTTTGTCTAGAGCTGGCAAGTCCATATGCGACCGATTGCATGACCAATGTGCTTTGACTTCGCGTCAAGTATAGAGACGTTGATCAGAGATCTCAGAAATCGAAGTCCAATAACTTACAAGCTTCAAAGTTCAATGAATTCCAAGTTTTCAGGGGGAAAAAAATCTGGGGGTAATTAGGCCTAGCTAGGAGTCGAACCTAGGTCTTGAGAACGAGAGTTGTAGTCAGAATCTCATGTGATAACCGTTACACTACAAGGCCATAAGCGCTAAACTGTTTCTAGGATAACTATCTCCATCGGATGTGTCCGACACTGGGAAACTCCGGGAAGTTCGACCGTAACATGGTTTTGCTATACGAGCCATATATGTCTGCTAAGTCCTATAAGCAGTTAGCCCCAGTCAGCTCTCTAACGTTTAAAATTATGTGAGTAATGTTTCCATGGCATCATGGCTCAGACTCGGATGTTGAGTATACTAGATGGTTTACAACTTGTTGGATCATGCTGGTGGACTCCAGCCCCTGAAGTATCTATGACATTTTCCTTTCTCATCCGGCTTTTTGAGCTTTGGTTTTGCCTCTCATTATCTTTGAGTACTCCGAGTCCTGTATTTTGGGTTCAATACTACGATTGCCTCATTCGGTACATGCAACGCGCATCAACCGGACTTGATGAGCGCCTGCGCGATATTAAGCATTTACTCTGGTTTCAGCTGGTAGCAGGCTACCTACCAACTCGTAAAGGCACTTATCCTGCTCCCTCACAACTTCCTAAACTATTACGGTTGTATCAAGCTTGCAACTATCATGGCATCTGAAGCCGAGGGAAAAGTAGGAGTTTCTGAGGCCCCAGACGCCGAAATCCAGGCCGACACTACGGCGGATTTGAAGAGCGATGTCCTAGAATCCGAGCCCTCACCAGCTCAACCTGCTACACATTCAGAAGACGATACTCCTACACAACAATCCTTACCAACCCACCTCGAGGCCCCAGATACCGAGGTCAAGGTGGACACCGCGGCAGAGTCGAAGAGTGACGCTCCTGCTGCTGAATCCTCGTCAACTGAAGCTACAGTTTCTCGGGGGAGCTCTGGTCTTTCTAAAATTGCTGGCGTATTGTCTTCTAGCCATGTTACTCCTGCACAATCTCTGCATATGCTGGTGATGCCTAGCACAGAAGACTCCTCGCAAGAGGCTCAGGACATGCATGATGCTACATCACCCGATCTTGACTCTTTACTCTCTCCTAAAGGCACCGACACTTACTTTCCCATTCGCGAGTCAGTTGCTACCTCCGATATCACAGAGGACGACACGCGCTTTTCTACTGTCCCCCTCAGCGCTCGACAAAGCATGGAAACTTTACATCTTTCGGTTGACGCTATGACAACTGTGGCAGAAGTCGAAGACAGCGACATAGGAGATTCGTTATACGGATCCGAGATCGTACGAATGGTTCACCAGAATCGTGTTCACAAGAAGACACCGTCCACTTCCACGATTGTTTCAGCGAACAACGTTCCATTTATTCTAGCCCGTCTGGAAGGCGACGAAGTCTCAAATCGGAAGAGTTTGGATGGTCAACAGAAGCTGCAGGAGGAGTTCACTCGGAAGCACGAAGTGGAAGGCGAGGCTGAACCTGAGGCTGTGGTCGATTGGGGTCCGTAACTATATCACTTCTCTGGAGTTCCGATACTTACCTGCACTTACAGGCTTCTGGGGTGATGTGGTCTCAGGCAAGCGTCACTCGCGCGATCCTTACTATCTGTCTCATGCGTCTTTTCTCAGATTATCAGGCATATGCTTCTACGTATCCTCAGCAGCTGGCAAGAGCGATTGAAAAGGGAATCCCGAAGACTTTGCGTGGCATGATCTGGCAACTAATGTAGGTAGGACTTGACCTCTCTTTAAACGCTTAGTATCTGTCGTACTTAATGCGCGCAGGTCCGCGTCTAAGGACCCCGAGTTGGAGCAGACATATCTGAGGCTCCTGAAAGAATCAAGCCCTCATGAAAAGGCCATAACACGAGATCTTGGGAGGTTGGTCCACCATCTCCCTATTGCTTTTTTTCACTAGCGAATGCCGCTAGACAGAACCTTTCCGCATCATGCATTCTTCACAGACGGGCAAGGCATCGGCCAAGAGAATCTGTTCAATGTGCTGAAGGCGTATTCCTTGTAAGTGGAACCTAAGTTCAATCGGTTGTATTAATGGGTTAACTTAGTCTTGAATAGATATGACACACAAGTTGGATATTGTCAAGGCTTGCCATTCGTTGCTGCTATCCTCTTATTCAATGTATGCCGCAACTTCTCATGGATAGTTTGATTTTTAACGCTTCGCATCCAGATGCCTGACGAAGAAGCATTCTGTCTTCTTGTGCGACTGATGCACTCGTATGACCTGAGAGGTCACTTTCTACCAGAGATGCCGAAGTTGCAACTGCGCATGGTCTGTACTATCTCCTTTTTGGTTCTTCGCAAAGATGTTGATCATTCTACAGTTCCAGGTATGTAATTGCTTCAGTGATGTATGAGAAGATACTCTAATTTTGGGCAGTTTGATCGTTTGGTGGAAGAAATTCTTCCTGTCTTGCATGTACACTTTATCCGACAAGGGATTAAGTCTAGTATGTATTGCTCCCAATGGTTCTTGACTGTGTTCAGTTACAAGTGAGCGTTCTTTCTTATTACCTTCGGATATAGACAAGCTTACGTCATTATTAGGTTCCCCCTTGACATTGTTTTCCGAATATACGATAATGTGTTAGCAAGTGGGGTTGAAGCTCTATTTTCGTTCAGTCTGATGTTACTGTACAAGAACGAGGAGCGCTTGTTGAACATGAAATTCGATCAGTTGTTGGTCTTCTTGAATACTCGCATGTTGGAAATATACCAAGTGTGTACCCATTCAGAAATTATATCTTTGCACACAATATCTGAGCTTTGATTTCCTCCAGATCGGACCTGAAGGGGCAGATCCAAAGACGGCGCAATACGATATCGACTTATTTGTACAGGATGCGGTCTCTATGAGCGTAACGCCGTTTATGTTGGATCAATATGCAAACGAGTATGAAGAGCTCGTTCGCACTCGAGATGCACATACAATAGAGGTTGATGGTTTGCGAAGCAGTAATCGCAGTTTATCAAATCAGATGTAGGTCTCATAATATCGATCAGCGACGCTTGAAATGACTATGCATCGCAGCCATAATCTGGAAGAAAACCTAGCTCAATTGAACACCGAGCACGTTAAGGTGTTGGTATGTTAATTTTTTATATTAAGCCTCATTAGTACGCTGATCTTTTATCACAATATTCAAGAATGAGCTAGTCATGGCACGATTGCGGAATGAAGAGTTAGAGTCTGAGCTGGTTCGGTACAAGCTACTGTAAGTCTCTGCATCTCCTGTCAGAATTATTCTAACGACATGCACTTTCAGTTACGCTGAAGCCATGCACCAGAGCGAAGATGCAATGTCGTCACACAGAGTATCGAGGATGAGTTTCAACAGACGAGTCAGTGGAAATAGCGCGATTTCAAGATAGAGCATTCTTTGTACACTAGGCGGAAAATCTTGTATGACCACGCAGTATACACTGTTTTTTACGGAGTTGTCCACGCAACATGCGAAGTACTTAGCAAGTACCGCTCATCGGGCGCTACCTATCAGCGGTCGATCGCAGAGAGCTTGCGGAAAAATAATAAATTGTAGTAAACGCTTCCACCCAGCTGGCGATGTCATAGTAAACCTCTGCTTTTTCGCAACTCATGTTTGCTCTCCGTCAACGCTATCTCAGTTGCAATGAATTTCGCACTGGATTGAAAGCTACTCCCCAAAGGAGATCACAGAAAAAGGGCCTCCGAGGGCAAGCGACTTCCGCCTCCATCCGCCCTCTTCCAAGCCGTCTTCGACGAACATGGATAGCCCTTCCGGGATCGTTGCTCCTACTCTCGGGTATTGGTATCATAACATATGAAAATTCTCAGCCTTTCCGACATGCAACGTTGGCTGCCGTAAGATGCTCGAGGGTGGCAGGTGAATGCATCTCCACGGTAGCTTGAACATTTGCTGATATTCCCGCAGAGGCTGCGGTATCAAGTGCAATTGACTACAAGCTGACGTTTGCCAAGAAATACGAGACCGATGAAGCTAGTCAGGAGGCTACGTCAGAGTGTCATCTTCGTAGCGCACAGAGAGTGCTGAGAGCACTGTTGTCTAACGGAGGTATGGGGCGAACCTCAGCTGCCAGTGATACCATTCACTCAAATTGGTTGTCTGTAGGGATATTCATCAAGCTGGGTCAGCATATAGCATCGCTGTAAGTGACGTTTCTACTCGCTTTTCAACGTAGATGCAGATCGCGTGACAGAAATCCAGGATAGTGTTACCGAAAGAATGGAGAGATACGATGAGACCACTGCAAGACCAATGCGAGCCAACGCCTTTTGAAGACTTGGAGAAGCTTTTCATCACAGACCTTGGAAGACCAATATCAGAGCTGTTCGACGACTTCGACCCAGAACCTATTGGCGTCGCCAGTTTGGCTCAAGTTCACGTTGGACGTTTGAAAGAGATCGGCGAAGAAGTAGCTGTAAAGGTCCGCGGTCCATATTATCTGTTATCTCTGCCGTCAGACTCAAATTCGTTGCAATGCAAGATTCAACACCCTCATCTCGCCGAATTCTGCGATATTGACATGGAGATGGTAGAAGTCTCTCTAGGTTAGTGTTGTACTATATTGCTTGTAACTTGCCATTCACGTAGAGTTCAGGCTGGATCAAGCATTGGTTCCCTGAGTTCGAGTTCACTTGGCTCGCTGGCGAGATGCGCGAGAACCTCCCCAAGGAGATGGACTTTCAACACGAAGCGCGAAATGCAGAAAAGACAGAGAAAGAGTTCGAGACTATTCATACCTCTTTATATATCCGTAAGCATTTCCCATTGTCATTTCATGAAGAATAATGTGCGAAGACTCTTTGTCAATCAGCGAAAGTCGTAGACGCAAGAAAAAGAATTTTGATAATGGAGTATATTCGCGGAGGGCGAGTGGACGACCTCGAGTATCTGGCAAAACACAATATAGACAGAAATAAGGTTTCTCTGGAGCTTGCAAGGATATTTGCCCAAATGGTTCATATCAACGGTTGGTTCCATGCAGTGAGTATTCCCCCTCTTATAAAACAGCATTCCCAGTGACTCTGACTCTTGCCCCCTTAGGATCCGCACCCAGGTAAGTTATAATCGTTTAATTGA